CAGTGCTGGAACATCACCTTCCTGCTGCATCTGCAGGGATGGTTCCACAAACAGCCCTACCTGAAAAAGCAAGTATTGCCCCAGTCAAGTCACTGATGTGTGTAAGTCGCAACACAACTCCCATCTGATCAACGGTTCGTTTCAGGAGTATACACAAAGGAAAATGATTGTATTTACCAGGTTCCTTCAGAAGAAACACTACAAGGATCAGCACACCAGACAGCTTGCCCAAACACTCAACTGAAGCTCATCCTGCCGAAGCACCAGCCAACCACAGCCCAACACCACAAATCAAAGAAATGCTCCTCAAGGATTCAATCAATAATAAATAACCATAGCAAGAAATTCCACGCGATTATGGTTTTTCTGTTAGAAATTTGATCCCATACCAAGATACTCATCCATCTGTGACAACAAAGAGCGCATGAATTCCCTGCTCGTACTCTGCAGAGAGACCGTGCCCACATTTAGCAACTATACACCTCTCCAGCACTGCCACCCTTCTCCACAAACATCGCCAGAAATTGGGGACTGAGAATGGCAGACAAGGAACCAGGGAATGCAAGGAAAGCTTATTAAGGTCTTAAACACAGTCACAAACTATTTAATTTGTGACTTCTGTCTCCAAGCCAACACTTTCACCAGCATCTACTGAAAACTCAGGTGAGGTGTAGTTGACAGCAAGGCAGAAAACTATGTAGGTTTTTGCCATACTAGCTAACATCTGAGACATCAGTCTTACTCAAAAAGACTTGAACCCTTTGCTTAATTAGGGAGGGGTGAAAGGAAAAGCAATGCTGAGATCACATCATTTCAGAAGAGAGACTTCTGATTACAAATCTCCAAAGCCAACTTCCAAAGAATGTAGGAGGACAGATGTTCTCCCTGTTCAAATATGCAGTAACGGAACAATACCAACAGGGACCCACCAAGCACTAAGTCATTGGGGCTCGTTTGGAAAAATTCTGAATGTTCTCAGAAATTAAAACATTGAGCTGGGACAACAAC